GTTGGAAAAAATATATATACACGAAACAAGAGAAGCAAACTGAGAAGATATAACAACATTATCAAATATCAATAAAAGAACAACGATACTGGCCCTTTCTTAAGTTATCTGGAAAGCATAAAAGAGAAAACCCTAAGATCAGACTACAATTTATAGAAAGGGAACCAAAAAAGTAACATATTGCTGTATAAAGCACAAACCTCCTGATCCTAACAAAGCTGTTGCAACCCCCGACACATATCGTACAACTTTTGGTTCAATGCGCATGAATTGAAAGTCACCAAAGTCAACCTTCAAATTAAAGACGTGATTTACTAATTCGACCAAATGAAATTATGTTAGACATATTACATGCCAAAATATCAATTATGGTTGAGAACAAGAGTTTGTTAATTTACCCAAAATGCATTTGGAAGCGTAGCCAAATATGTACTGCGAACTGCTGCTCTATCATTTTCAGAGACCTAAATGGTAATGTACTCTTCAGTCTTTTCACCATACAAACATTATCGTTAACAGAGAGGCAAAAAATGGGTATCAAAACACGGCTACAACTTACAGGAACAGCATTGCCATGCAGAGTGATTACTAAATCAGTCCTATCTTCAGGATCTCTAGCCACAAGTAGTGAGCACTTAGCATTAGCACTTAGGTCCTATGCAGAACAAAAAAGCAGAACCTTGAGAAGACTAAAATATACAACAGAATAACATAAAATGAAAAATGTGACTCAAATGTCGAAACAGATGCAAAGTTGAACTTACAAAGAATTTTGTACCAGAAGTAGATGAATTGATCATAAAATCTGGTAATAAAGCATCTATTTCATTTTCTCTTATAAGAAAAGCTCGTTTCATTGATAAAAATAGATCAATTTTACAAAGGAAGGAGGATGAGGAATCCTCTAAAAATAGAAAGATAGAATAAACAAAACAGGAAGACAAAAGAAAGATAGGACTCTAAAAAGAAGAAAAACAATTAGCTTCTAATAACATCCCTCCAGTTTAACGCAATCAAAGAGAAAGGAAAATCCTTGAAAGCTGTATCTGTTGAAGGCCACAATGAGGCTGATTTTTTAGCTTTCTCAAACAAATTGTTAGGAGTGGTATTAAAAGCAATGAAACAGCAAATTAAGACAGGATTGGATTGATCAAATTAGAAGAAATTCAATTCACTGTAATAAGGAAAATGGAAAGATAAGGGGGTTTTCAAGAGAGCCTCTGCACTCCAAGAGCCTTAGCTCATTCAGTCTCCTAATTCACAAAATGATCGATGATCTACAATACCCTCCCTCATCACGTTTTATTCCAATTCCTCTAACTAACCAACCAACTCGT